CCCTTTAACGGGCCTTCGGGGTTTATCTTAAAAATCATATTGGTTTTTCTTATAATATAAAAGTCCTAGAATTATTAATTATTTTAATTAGTGTTTGTAACATTTTGAAAAATTAGAATAAGAATTGGAAGATTATAATCGTTGTCAAATAAGAAAGGTTAGAAAAAAATGATACTAAATCAGACTAATATCCTCGTTAGAACTAAAATGATACTAAATCAGACTAATATCCTCGATTATATATATTTTTCTATAATATTCGTCAAATCAGAAAAGTTAGAACTAAAATGATACTAACTCTTTATTAAATAATAAGTTAAAAATATAATCAATCTAAATTAATTAAAAAAAAATTAAAATAATAAAAAATTAAAATTAAAAATTATAATTAAGTTTGTAAAATCATGATCTCTCCATATACAAATATCCTCGAATTTTTTTTTTTTTAAATGATACTAAATCTTTATTAAATAATATGATAAAAATATAATCAAACTAAATTAATTAAAAAAAATTAAAATAATATAAAAAAATTAAAATTAAAAATTATAATTAAGTTCGTAAAATCATGATCTCTCCTTATACAAATATCCTCGAATATATATATACTTTTCTATAATTCATTTACATAATGTTTTACAAACAAACTGAAAAAAATCTTAAACTTTCTTTAATTTGAATAATCATTCTTTTTTATTCATCTTTCTTTAAATCATTTGCATTCGAAATTTAATTCTTTTTTCTTGAGTAGATTTGAATATCCTTCGGCTTTGTAATTTGGTTTAACAATTACAACACCCTTCCACTTAGATTAGTCCCACCATTCTGCGAGTATAGGCATGGTTCCCGATTCTAGCTCTTTTAATTATATCTCGTTTTACTCCCACATTAACCTAGTCTTTGCTTGTTTCTAACGGTTTCTAGTAACTAATGACGGTAAATCTCTGACGATAATTTGTCTGCGAGTAACGATGGTTTCCACGACTTCTTGTTCGATTTTTTATCCTATACTAAATTTTTGATAAGCAATTGGCTATAATTTGTCAATGATTAACGATAGCATCCTGGTCTTCTTGTCAATATATCCACTTTGCCTTAAGATCTCTTATACGATAATGATTTCTTGTATCTTTTGATCCAAAATAAAAATCCGATCTCTAATTGAGCTCGATTGCGGCATAAATTTTCTAATGACGAAAAGCCGTTTCTCTTTATGAAGATTTTTTGGTTAATCAACAACCTGATATTTTGCTAAATATTATCAACTTAAATAACAGTCAACCGTATATCTTTAATAAAAATTTATAACGACATTCTTTTAGCTACATCGATCACTTGTACGTATAACGATCTCTTGTGCCGCATTCTTTTTAGCTAAACGACTAATTCTCCGAAATACGACCATTAATATTGATATGATACCATTGTTTTATTGCTCTCATTCTTTGTCTTAGTGTCGATAGTCATCTCATACATCCCCTTCCCCCTTTATTTAGAATCTCTTTTCAGAGTTAATTAGACTGACTTTTGATCTTCTAAAGCCTGGATCAATCGCTGTAAGACACCACTGAACCAATATGGTATTGATATTTATATTGCTGAGGCTAGTGGGAGAGTTAATTAGACTGAATTGTTGAAATTGCCCTGTCGCCTCCACTCTCCAACATCATTGTAACATTTTGAAGAATTAGAATAAGATTGAGAGATTAGAACCGTTGTCAAATAAAGAAAGGTTAGAATAAAATGATACTAAATCAGACTAATATCCTCGTTATAACTAAAATGATACTAAATCAGACTAATATCCTCGATTATATATACTTTTCTATAATATTCGTCCAATAATAAACGTTAGAACTAAAATGATACTAAATCTTTATTAAATAATATGATAAAAAATAATCAAACTAAATTAATTTAAAAAAATTAAAATAATATAAAAAAATTAAAATTATAATTAAGTTCGTAAAATCATGATCTCTCCTTATACAAATATCCTCGAATATATATATACTTTTCTATAATTCATTTACATAATGTTTTACAAACAAACTGAAAAAAATCTTGAACTTTCTTTAATTTGAATAATCATTCTTTTTTATTCATCTTTCTTTAAATCATTTGCATTCGAAATTTAATTCTTTTTTCTTGAGTAGATTTGAATATTCTTCGGCTTTGTAATTTGGTTTAACAATTACAACAGTGTTGTTAAACGGCTCGACTTGAGCTGATTTTTATAAACAGCTAACTGAATATTTTAGCCAAAAAATATTGTTCAAGCCTAGAGATTTTACGAATAGTATAAAACTTGTATCTCCATGAGCGGGCTTACATAATTTTCTGGCTAATATATCGAGTTAGCTATATCGGCTAAAATTGAGCCATTAACCACTAATTTTAATTAAAATAACACATTGACATAATTTTATTGATATACGTTTCAATTTAATATACTTTTAGAAGTTATTTACAAATAAAAAGCGATTATTTAAAATATAAATATTATATTGATTTAATTATAAATATTATATTGCTTTACTTATAAATATTATATTGCCTTAATTATAAATGATATATTTTATAATTAATAAACATATTAAAATTATAGATTAAAATATAAATGTTTTTTTTTAAAACTATAAATTTAAGTCGATATCCTTCAAAGTGAAAAAATCAAAATTGTGTTGGCAATATTTTTTTACCAATATATGATAGATGTTTAAAATTAATATTGAGAAACCTAGGCTAATAATCATAGATGACATATTAGCTTTGGAACCAACTTTTGATTATTATAAGTTATTTTTTTTTATGATTATTACTCACTTTAAATTAAAATTTGTTGGGCATAGCAAAATAGGTCCGTGAAGTTGTAAGAACGATGTAAGGATCAATTAACAAAACCTATGCCAATATTTAGAGTCTTAATTGATCCTAATTGATCTTCAAACCAGACATAAGCAGAATTAAAGGTTATTGGGTTATAAGCAAAATAATGAAAGTGCGAAGATTTGCAGCTGTAAGAATGATTTGAGGATCAATTACCGAAACTTATATCATTGTATAGCCCGTTAATTGATCCTAATTGATCTTCTATCCGGAAAGCAGCGGAATGAACCGTTACTGAGTTATGAGCAAAATAAGAAAGTATTGGCACTTTGCCAAAACCGAAAATATAAAAGATCACGATCTGAAACTTGGCAATTATTTAGGCTTTAATTTGTGCGTTAATAATATCCAAACCGGATATCGATATCATTAACCGCAACTGAGTTATGACCTATTTTTATAGCATGAAGTTGTAAGAATTTTTTTAAAAAGTGAGGATCAATTACCAAAAATTATGCCAAAGTGTGGTGCGTTAATTGATCCTCCAGAATCTTTAAACCGCATATCAACAGAATGAACCGTTCGTGAGTTATAAGCAAAATAGAAAGGTTTTGACACCTTGCCAAAATTAAGAATTTGAGCAATCATTTTTTTAGTTATAGCCAATATTTAGTACCTTAATTGATCCTCCATATTATTTAAACGGAATGTCAAAAAAATTAAAGGCTATTGAGTTATAAGCAAAATAATGAAAGTGCGAAGATTTGTAGCTGTAAGAATGATTTGAGGATCAATTACCGAAACTTATATCATTGTATAGCCCGTTAATTGATCCTAATTGATCTTCTATCCGGAAAGCAGCGGAATAAACCGTTACTGAGTTATGAGCAAAATAAGAAAGTGTTGGCATTTTGCCAAAACCGAAAATATAAAAGATCACGATCTGAAACTTGGCAATTATTTAAGCTTTAATTTGTGCGTTAATAATATCCAAACCGGATATCGATATCACTAACCGCAACTGAGTTATGACCTGTTTTTATAGCGTAAGAATTTTTTTAAAAAGTGAGGATCAATTACCAAAATATATGCCAAAGTGTGGTGCGTTAATTGATCCTCCAGAATCTTTAAACCGCATATCAACAGAATGAACCGTTCGTGAGTTATAAGCATAAGCAAAACAAAAAAGTATTGGCACTTTGCCAAAACCGAAAATAAAAAAGATCACGATCTGAAACTTGGCAATTATTTAGGCTTTAATTTGTGCGTTAATAATATCTAAACCGGATATCGATATCACTAACCGCAACTGAGTTATGACCTGTTTTTATAGCGTGAAGTTGTAAGAATTTTTTTAAAAAGTGAGGATCAATTACCAAAAATTATGCCAAAGTGTGGTGCGTTAATTGATCCTCCAGAATCTTTAAACCGCATATCAACAGAATGAACCGTTCTTGAGTTATAAGCAAAATAGAAAGGTTTTGGCACCTTGCCAAAATTAAAAATTTGCATTTTTTTAGTTATAGCCAATATTTAGTACCTTAATTGATCCTCCGTATTCTTCAAACGGAATGTCAAAAAAATTAAAGGAAAGTGAGTTTATCAACAATAAATATTTCAAGGTCAAATTTCGACCTGACAAATTATGGATATGAAACTTATATCATTTTTTAGTTCTCCGTTGATAACAAATCCTTAAGAAGTTTAATAGCCGAAATTAAAATGTAAAAGTTAATAACAAAATTAATAAAAACAAATTACGGTACACTAAAACAAAATCTAGTGCAGCGACAGACATTCTATTAATTTTGCCATTATTTAATCATTGTAAATTTTTTTATGAGCTTACTAAATGTTTCAAGGTCAAATTTATTCCACTGAAATTATATATGCACTGTCCTATTAAATTTTATCGTTTAAAAGGCCAATGATAAAGCTCGAAAGCCTATTATATTACTCTTATAAAAGTATATTCCTTTTTTATTGATAGATCTTAACTATTTTAAAAAATATTAGAAGAATGTATCAATAAACTTGAATTACAAGTAGCTATCTAGAAGAATTATGTATTATTTAATTTAGCCAAGTATATCGGCCTTTATGGCTTTTGTACTTGTCGTTATATTTTAATCTAAGTCGAAGATTTTTTATATAATATAAGGGAAGGAATGGTGAATAATATTATGTACGAATAGTAATATATTAATCAGAAAACGCAACAACAGTATAATTTGTTATAATCACGATATATATTTATTATAAGCGTGGGGGCGTTGTGTTCTAATTAATGTTGTTTAAATTATTCGGCTTGAGTACCCTTGGATATTTCATAGGAGATATGTGGAATTGATTGAGATTTCATCCAATAGTCAATTTGTTGTTGTAGGTACGGGCAGGCCCGAGATCAGGGAAATAACATTATCTAATATCCCTGAGAAAGCTATCTATAAAGATTATAAATTATTTTAATTATATAATACTTGGTTCTCAGTTATTCAATTCGATGTACAGATATTGTGTAATATCCCTGGTTATTCAATTCGATTTACAGATATTGTGTAATATCCGTTAGAAAGCTATCCATAAAGATTATAAATTATTTTAACTATATAATACTTGGTTTTCAGTTATTCAATTTGATGTACAGATATTGTGTAATATCCCTGGTTATTCATTTCGATTTACAGATATTGTGTAATATCCGTTAGAAAGCTATCTATAAAGATTATAAATTATTTTAACTATATAATACTTGGTTCTCAGTTATTAAATTCGATGTACAGATATTGTGTAATATCCCTGGTTATTCAATTCGATTTACAGATATTGTGTAATATCCGTTAGAAAGCTATCCATAAAGATTATAAATTATTTTAACTATATAATACTTGGTTTTCAGTTATTCAATTTGATGTACAGATATTGTGTAATATCCCTGGTTATTCATTTCGATTTACAGATATTGTGTAATATCCGTTAGAAAGCTATCTATAAAGATTATAAATTATTTTAACTATATAATACTTGGTTCTCAGTTATTCAATTCGATGTACAGATATTGTGTAATATCCCTGGTTATTCATTTCGATTTACAGATATTGTGTAATATCCGTTAGAAAGCTATCTAAAAAGATTATAAATTATTTTAACTATATAATACTTTATTCTTAAATTCTCATTCCGTGTTTAAAATCATCTAGGAAGCTTACGTTTTCATTTTCAGTTTTGTTTTCCATTTATCATAATGTATTTTTTTGTATTTTCTTTTTAATTTTTTTTCTTTTTTTGTTTATTTCTATATTTTTTTTTCCCTTTTTTTCATATTTTTCTTTTTTTGATTTATCATTTATTTCTATCATTTTTTCTTTTTTCATTTGTTATTTTTTTATCATTTTTTTTCTTTTTGTGTTTTTTTATTTGTTTTTTTCTTTTTTGTTTTATCAATTTTTTAATATGTTCTGAGGGCAAACGTGCTAGGTGTAAATGAGAGATCGGCTATAAAAAAATTTGGTTATTGCTTAAGTCGAGGGGTATATTTTTTTTTGTTATTTTTTTTATGTTATTTTTTTTGTTATTTTTTTTATGTTATTTTTTTTATGTTTTTTTTAAATGTTATTTTAAATTAATATAGTATTATTTGGTGATAATTTTTTTTGTGATAAATTTTTAAAATATTGTTGCATATTTTTATTATTTAGTGATAATTTTTTTTTGTGATAAATTTTTAAAATAATGTAGCATATTTTTATTATTTGGTGATAAATTTATAAATTAATATATATTTTTTCTTTTAAGATATTTTAAAATACATTTTTCTTTTTTAAAAATATTTCTTAATTCCTAGGGAGGGGAGGTAGGTAAAAGAATTGTGTCTACATATTTTTTTAAAAAATTGTTTTTTTAAAGAAATAATTCGTAGTTCCGATTATTATTAGATTATGTATATATATAATATGATTCCTTCCATACTCATTCACACCCAAAAAGTCGAAAGACTGTGGCGGGATCTTAAGGAAAACTATAAAAGACATGGGGATCGAGAGAATATTCATGAATATTTACTTGAATATAGATATTTTAGAAAACATAAATTATTAAATCGCTTTGATCTTTTTATTCTATTTATAAATGACTGTATACATTTTAATACAATTTTTCAATTTAATGAATAAAATTGACTCGTTTATTACTATATTTCGATATTTTTATTTTGTATAAATTTCAATAATATATTTCAATTTATTTCGAATTAACCCTTCCCAACAAAGGTTAAAAAAATCACTTAGAATTTAAAGATGGGGTCTATTTTACCCCTAATAAATACAAAATTTAAGATTTTATGCTAATTTTCCTAAAATTGCTTAGATTATCAGACTATATTTCAATTTAATGAATAAAATTGACTCATCACAATTCTTCTACCCTCCTCCCCTCCCCTAGGAATTAAGAAATATTTTTAAAAAAGAAAAAAATATTTTAAAATATCTTAAAAGAAAAAATACATTATCACCAAATAAATAAAAAAAATAACAAAAAAAATAAAATAAAAAAAAATAATATACCCCTTTATGTAATAACCAAAAATTTAATTGCTTCCAAAAAATTATTTAATTACATTTTAATGGAATAGGAAGTTAGATTTGGTATTGTTGCAGCTTGAAAATTTAAAATAAAATGATTTATTATGAATAATTTATTTACCCTCAGTTGTCAGCAAACAGGCCTTGACCCTATCTAAGGGCGAATCTGCATGGTGTAAATGGGATCGGCTATAAAAAAATTAAATTGCTTCCAAAAAATTATTTAATTACATTATAATGGAATAGGAAGTTAGATTTGGTATTGTTGCAGCTTGAAAATTTAAAATAAAATGATTTATTATGAATAATTTATTTACCCTCAGTTGTCAGCAAACAGGCTATCTGAGGGCGAATCTGCAAGGTGTGAATGATGTTTTGGCGATTTTAAATTTGGCGATTTAGTGGTTTTATTTTCGTATTTTTTATAATTTTTTTATCTTTTTTGTTTTATTTTTTTTGCTTTTTTATTATTTTTTTTTGCTTTTTTTTGATTTTTTTTTTTGCTTTTTTTTGCTTTTTTTTTTGATTTTTTTTTTGCTTTTTTTTTTGCTTTTTTTTTTTGCTTTTTTTTTTTTTGCTTATTTTTTTTTGCTTTTTTTTATTTGCTTATTTTTTTGCTTTTTTTAAAACTTTTTTGTAAACAGTGTTCAGTTCAGAGGTGTTAAGGATTAAAAAAATTTATACTGTATATATATAATTTATGTGTGAATTATTGTTTTAAAATGTTGCATAATTATCGTTATAATAGACCGCTTATTGAGATAAAAATGAACTAAGTGCTAAGTCAGATTTAATTCGAAACTGATGTGTTAAACAAATCAAACCATGAAATATTGAATTCGAAACCAGTAATCTATATTTCTTAGAAGTCATATGAATACGCAGGCAAAACTATCATTAAATCGGATTACAATTATACCAATTATTATATCTAAAATATACACAAACTATATTTACCCATTATAATCAATTTTTGCTATGATAAATTATTTATATATTATTGGTTACAAAAACAGATGATAACTTTAAATAAATATTGCTCATACAAATAGATTTCTTATACCTTAGTAAAAATAAATTGACCATATTATTAAACATCTAGGAATATTTTCGTATACATATATATAATAGATTTAAAATAAAAATCAGGGCATGTGCCACAGTGCAAGTATTATCAAAAGCCATGATAATAACCATACTTCCAAAAAGCTGAATGAAAGGGTACATTTTGGAGGTAAATTACAAAAAATTGAACTGATGATCCTTTAACTTTATTGGAGATTGTCTCTAGACCTCCAGAAAATTTTATTGATCTAAAGTCATATAGTGTATATTTATAAAATATAATATTATGACAACATACTCCTAGGATTTTTATTAGATAAAAAAATCTCGATGTATCAAATTAATAAATATATTACCCTATTTATATAAAAAGTAATATTTAATTAGAGAATTTTACGTTGCTAAACTTAAGGATGTTAATAGAATCTTTCCTTATTGAATAGTGAATTTTGTTATATTAAGATTTGTCCTGACTGAATGCTAATAAATATTTTAAAAATGTAATCTCTGGAGACTTTAATATATTAGATGAACCTGATGATGAAAGAATAATTGATTTATTAAAAATAAAGCTATATTTAAATGTATCATATGAAAAGAAGAAATATATTTCTATAACCTCGTATTTTATGTAATTTTTTAAAGATCTGTCCTTGATCCAGATAATGCAATCACATTATTATTAAGAAGAAACTACAGCCATCAAATGCTGGAAGTTATTATTAATTTTAAAATTAGATGATTTAAATTCATAATTGTTGCTTATGCATGACAATTGATAAAATTAACCGTTAGATTAAATAATAGGGATTTTTACTGTCGCTGAGACATCTCGCATCTCTTATATAATTAAGGAGATAGAAAAAATATGTACCACAAGAAATAGAAATATTACAAATTTTTAAATATAGCAATGAAATTTTATTCAGGATAAAGGTGTCGATGAATTTGTATTAATAAAAAATGGGAAGGGTTGGCAGATAATTAATCCATAAAAAAACCTAAGTGCATATTGTTCTTAAATATTACGTTTAATTAAAGGTACCAAGATTAAATTAATTTGTTGAAAATAAAAATCTTACCACAAATCATAGATATAATCATCAATACATGTCCTATTAATAGTTAATAACAAGCAGAAGCAATTGCCTGCTGTAGCAAATCATATAAAATGTTTATTGATAATTTAGGAAATAATATATTCAAAGATAGAATATTATTTTTCGCAAAATTGTGATTTAATAGTAAAATTGTTTGATAAACCTAAGGAGTAATGATTTATTTATATTGTCTTATGAATCAACAATATTATAGAATTATATTATAAACATACTTATACTGTACCGATTTTTTAAATTTAACGACTGGAGAATTTCTTATAAATCATATTCTTACCAATGTGATGTTTATAAAGATTGAATATTTAATTCAAGATGCATAATCTCAGAATTGTGTAAATTACTTAAAATGCTGTATCCCATATCCCTAATACATAAGTTATAAATAAAAATAGTAGGTGTGATGGAAGTTCAAAATTAAATAAATTAACGGGATATCTAGTTGTTTAATTTTTTATATTTCCTGCTTCATCACAAATAGGTCATTAAATATGTTATTCCAGAAGGTTAAATTTAACATGATAAATATATTAGTAATGAATGCCAACAATGGATGATATGTTATGAATGATTCATATGGTATATAAAATAGCATGACATATAACATCATCTTGGCAATCATTATTTTTATATATAATTGATTTTGAGAGATCATTATATATTTCCCATGTTCCATCTAACCGCTTGGAATAACATATATAATGACCAATCCCTGAAGAAACAGCAGGAGGTATAAATACTATAAGAGCTCTTAAAAAATATAATGTATCTCCTAAATTTATAAATCTAGGGAAATTATTTAATTTAGAACTTTGACAGCTAGTGTCAATTATAACTTGTTCATGAAATTGGTACTTATGGACTAAAGATAAAGGGTCCGGCATTTTACAGGATTTACAGTATGTTAAAAGAGGTAAAGCATCTTGGATTGCAATATCCAAACTTTCAAAACCTGTATTATTTATTATATTTAAATTTATTGGTAAACATATTATTTCTAAGAAATTTTCCGGTCGTAAACATTCTTTATTATTACATTTAAAAATATCGGTTACACTATATATATCTTTATAGCATTTTTCTATAATATAATATATTGTTGATTCGCAAGACAATCTATAGAAACTATTACTAATCTTAGTTTTATCGAATAATTTTAATAATAAATCACACCTTATCTTATATGTATTATTATTGGCCCCATGCGAAACAAAATATTCTATAAACTCTTTAAATATACTATTTTCTAAATTGTCAAAAAAAGCTTTATATAATTTGCTATCGCAGTAGGCTACTGCTACTGCTTGTGATAAAATATCAATAGGGCATGTATTACTGATTATATATCTATTAGATCCAAGTTTTAAAGGTCTCTTTATTGTGGTAGGATTCCCATTTTTCAACATGCCTAATTTAATCTTGGTCCCTTCAATTACATGTAATATTTCAGGGCAATGTGCTCCATAATATGAAGTACGTTTCTTTTTTATGGATGGTTGATCTACTAAACCTTTCCAATTTTCAATTAACTGATATTCATCATCAGACACTCTCCCTCATTTAAACTACTAAATTTAGAAATTTGTGAATTGTCTGTTTCTTGTGGTATAATAATTTCTACAGTATCCTTTTCCTTAATTATATTAGAGATTCGGGACGCTTCAGCTATAGTAAGCAATCCTCTTATCTCATCAAAATGTTTACAGAAAAATTTATCAATAATAATAGGTAACATTACGGATTTAAATGTTCTATTTTTCAAATTATTAAAATAACTTTCAACATTTGATGTAGAAGATGTAACTTGTCCATAATTATAATGTGGTTGCATAATACTAGACCATAAAGGATAGGTCTTTAAAAAATTACATAAATTTATAGTTATTTCTGGGTTATAGAAATAATTTTCTTCTTTATATGATATGATACATTTAGATATGGCTTTATTTTTAATACTTTCTATCCAGTAATTTATATTACTAGATACATTTAAGTCAATGAATATTTCATCCTCGAGTTCATCTAATATATTAATGTCTATATCTTCTATTCCAGAGATTATATTTTTTAGATATTTTTTAGCATTCAGCGTAATGTCAGGACAAGTTTCGATCCCACAAAATTCACTATTACATACAATGAGGATGGATTCTATTAATATTTCCGCCTCTTTAAAGGAAGCGGATTTTATTAGCATTGCAACGGAACGTATATAAAATTCTCTAAATAAACGAGGCTTTTTATATAAACTAGGCCATCTACTTATTAGTTTGATACAATGAGCATAATCTATTCTAATAAATATCCTAGGGGTCAGCAATTTTTGACCTAATATTATATTAAATGAATATTCAATATATGACTTAAGATCAATAAAATTTGCTAGCGATCTGGCAACAGCCCCCAATAAAGCTAATGAATGATCAGTTACAACAATTTTAGATATTTTAGCACCTCTATGCACCCATACATTCAGCCAGTGTGAAATGTGGTTAATATCATGGGCTTCTGATAACATCTGAACTACTGGTATTTGCCCAGATTTTACTTTTAAATCGATTACTCCTATGTATAGAAAAATATGCCCAGATGTTTGATCATAAGGTCGACTTAATTTTTTTACTAAGGTCCCTGTGGCATCTATTTGTAGTGTGGATACGTTAGTATCTTGGCAATATTTATTAAAATTATCATTTGTTCTGGTAACCAGTAGTGCATAAAAAATTTGTCACAGGATATATTGATTATACTGGGTAAATATGGTTGAGTATATTTTAGATATAATAACTGATTGATTACGCTATCCGATTTAATGTTATATTTATTAGAAATGGATTGTTTGCATTTACGTAGGACATCCAAGGAATATAAAGTTCTAGGTTCCAATTCACCATATTCCATGGTTTCATTTGCTTTTTTCACGCCAGTTTATGGCTAAATCTTTTTGTAATTCATTAGCAACCTCTTCCCTTTTTATCCCACTTAATGGTCTTTTATAAATATTATTATGCAATTCTGTTTTATAATTATATATTTCACATATAAATTTTATATATATATTATTTAAAGTATTTAATTTTTTAATTAATAACACAGCTGAACATTGTTTACAAAAAGCCTTAATTTTTATTAAATATATTGAATTTAGAGGTACATAATTATTAGAAAATACCCATAAACAGGGTATTTTCAATTGACTAGAAATTATTTTTTCAAGCACATGGGTCCAACCCATTTTTAACCGATTTGGGTTATCCGCATTCGGATATATTTGATTCCATTCTTCCCCTGTCATAGAAA